TCTGTTCTGCCGCCTGCAGCGACGCCAATTTCTCGGCGACGAAGACAAACGTGCCGGCGCGGCGCCGGTGGCCGCTCCGTCGGCGGCACCGCGGCGACGCGCCGCTCGGACCGCCACGCCGCCGCCGCCGGCCCCCTGATTCACGCGCTGTGGGCCGGTATTTTGGGTGGCGGGGCGCCGCGGCCCACTGGCTGCCGGCCAGGGCCACCACCATGACCGCAAACACCGCCGGTACGTGTCGCCGCGCCGGACACCGAAATGTGCCGCCGACGGCGTCCGTGCAGTTTGTGCCACCCTTTAGCCGTGCACTGCGCCAAATTGGCCGCTGTTGGTTTTGGCCTGCGGCCCTGACGTTGCGCCAGCGGTACACATTCATTTATATGGCGTGAGGGGTCTAATTTTGGCGTGGTGCCGTGCCCCGCGGCGCGCGCCGGCGCGACTCGGAGCGGCGAGCCCCCCGACACGGCGGCTGTCGCTGTGGGTCCGACGTCGCTGGGGTCATAGCAGCCATTGGTTCTTGTTCATATCCCTGAACAGCCGTCCAACTCATCGCCAGCTCGGTCACGGCTACATGAGTCATTGGACTGTTGAGCCAGCCTCTGTCTCGTGATGGCTATCCACCGTCGGTTTGTTGATTGTGTGCTGCAAACGATGTTGTTCCATGTTTGTATTGCTCTTTGTTAAAAAGTTAACTGAGATCAGCCCTCTTGACTTATCAGTGCATGTCCAAGCTTACATGTTTAGTTTAAATTAACTTTACTTGCACATTTTCGTCCGCACACCTAATGCCAACCTTACTTACTGCCACTATTCTGGGCTGTTCGTTAAAATTATCTCCCCTCCCGCTCTGCTCCCGGTTCGCCCGGCGTGCCCAGCGCGCCTGCCTGCTCACACATCCGTCTTACGCTATTGGCGAACTCGCTCGATGCCTGGCCGTTACATTTTCGTACGAACGGATGTTCTGGGACCGGCGGGGCAATTTGGACACTCGGTCAGTGGAAACGGCGCCGGCGAATGACCCACCATATCCTGATGACTTCTCCCACGAGTCAGTGGAGATGGACTAGATGCCGTCCGATTGAGCCGAGCTTCCGATGCTCATTCGGATTCGTTTTCTATTGAAGCGATAAGACTGAGATGATGTTTATTTGAAATGGAAGCTGTGAGTTTATGAACATTCCGTACGTGATTTCTCTACGCCATATATTTTATTTTCACATATTAATCAATTAGACAGGGATAAAGAGTGAAAAGTAGATCTATCCTGCTAACATTCAAGCTATTTACGCTATCAAAGAAATGTATGAAGTTGAATCCGGTATTTATTGACAGTTCCAATAATTATTAACCATGTGTCAGAGCCCCCTAAAATATCCTTACCAAGCGATTGCCACAACATTTGGCGCTGGTTTCGTTCACCTCAACCAAAAGAAACTTTGACAGATCGGAAGACCGTACAAAAACTGTTACCAGGGCGCCGGAGATCAAGGACTTTGGACTGGGACCCTTTCTAAGCCTATCGAGCTGTCAGAGCTCCGCCCGGCGGCATCTACCCGGCCTGGTGGGACTGACTGAGCTGATAGAGGGAGAGATGGCAGAGATGGCCACCGGCTGGCACCGAGCGCCGGGTTAATTAGCGAACAGCTCCACCGACTCGCTACAATTTCATTCTGCCCTAACGAGTACAATGATTAAAACATTTAAAGTTGTTTATTTATTAAATACTGCAATTTTCAGACAATAGCTGAAGGAAACAGGTTATGCATAATCGATCCATTCGTTACGATGCAGCCTGCTTTATTCATCACCGACATTACTCGTTCGCCGCCAACATTTCATTGGCGAATGGCCGGAGATTTATGGAAGTGTTGCCGGCGGTGGGTCGCCTTCCGTCCGCCATCCCGTCTCGGCGGACCGTGAGGGGCCGCGGCGCCGGGCCTGGCGCCGCACTGACGCTGACCCGGCCGGCCGGCGTCCCGTCTCTCTGGAACCACCACGGGGTCACTGCCCCCGGGGCACGGCTGGGGGTACGGCCGGGGCCCGAGGGCGCAACCGGCTTAGTCAGAATTCCTTCTGAGGCACAGCCTGCTTCTGCTACATCATACTGGGTTTGCCAGAAAACTAGCGCTGCAGTTTGCGCATACAGGAATTGTATTCTGCTTTATGTGTTTGCGATAAAGTTTTCAATAAATATCGGCCTACAACAGCACATATAAGTCAGTAGTCCTCGAATTTTAGGAGAACTGGTATATGCCTCCAAACCTTACTGTATCAACTTATTGCAAGTTCATTGATATCTCAGAGTTGCCTCTATTTTTTTTTGCTTTTTCTTTACTTTTGCTTCAAAATCATGTATTGGATAAGGAGAGTCATGCTTATTTAATGAAATCAGATACTCTGTATACCGGCGTCTATGCTGAAATGTATTAGTGACTGCGGGATGCTTTTGGAACAATTCAATCCGTTTAAAGCACTGTGTTCCCTTATTTTATCACTCCAGTTTATCTAATCACATTCAGTTGGGCCAAATAGCTTTTCCGTTTGTGCTCAGCAAACTTTGCGTCTCATTTACTAAATGGGTACACTTTGAAACATCTACATCGTACAAGTTCCTCAGTTGATCGCAACTCAAACTGGATGTTGTTCTTTTTACTTAATTTAAGCGTCTCCTCTTTTATTGTTCTAAGTCATATACGAACAATATTTTTTCCAAAACGAACATAACCTCCTCAGACCCTGAAATTCCGCAGTCTTTTTCATCGCACTGTTCGTAGCGGCGGTTTCACTCCCGCACAGTGGGTTTATTTCCTTCACGCTGATCGTGTTATTGGCTACAGAGTTCACCGCTGGCCTTCTGTGACCCCGGCGGCGGCCCTGACCTTCATCGGACTGTGTCGCGGTCGCCACATCTGCATTCCGGCCGACAGGGCGCCCTGTTCTCGAAACATGCCGCCCTCGGCAGCGTCTGTCTGCAGCCGGGAGGTCAGACTGGTACCGTAAGGCGCACACCGCACAGCCGCTCAACCGACTCCCGCTGGCACACGGCGAAATGTCAAAGTATCGTGTCCGACTTAAAATAGCTCGTATGCGCTCACTGGTGGTGCCTTGAACTCTTGCCCCAGCCATTTACAATGTAACTTTTTGAGGCTGCTGTACGGCCTTTGATTGTAGGAAACTTACACCAGTGCAACAGGAAATCAAAAGCGATATAACAGCGGATAGGTGACCGCCATTGACATGCTCTTTGAGACGATATGGGTGAGATGACCCGTGACCTGAGCACCCAAACTGTCCGTCTGCCCATCCGCCCTTTGGTACGTCCACTCGTTCGTCCGTCTGTCCGTCCGGGCGCATCCGTCCGTCCCACGTCGATCACAGAGCCGTATCCGATTGGTGACCGCCGGTATGACCTCCAGTCGTTGTCTGTTGCCGTCGCTCGAACTCCGCCGCTGGGAAAGTGTGTCGGTGCTGCGCGTCCGGTCGTCTGCGACGGAATAAAGCTCGCTCCGGCCAACAATCGATGGTACTCACCGGGAGCAGTGCGGGCTGCAGAGCCGGCCGCCGCCGCCCCCGCCCCCGCCCACCGGCAGCGGCACCAGCAGCTGAACCGGCCGCCACGGTCGATGTGAAGTGAGGTCAGGTGCCAGCCGACGGGACCAGCGAGGCGGCCTTGACAGGGCTCGTCGCCGCCGTCACCGCCGACCGTGCCAGTGCCGCGGCCAGCCGGCCTGCCGCCGCGCCGTGCAGTGACGGAAAACAGCTGTCGCGGGACAGCCGGCTGGCTGGATAGATGCCCCGCAGACCACAATTACCCTCCCTCTTCTCTGTCCCGCACTGTCCTCTGCAACATCGCCGTGCCCTTCTAAATCCTGCCCCGCTCCGACCCCTCCTCCCCTCCCCCTCTTCTCTCCCCATCCCTCCGCCCCCACCCCGTCCCGTGGGCCGCAATCACGGCGTGCTTAACGCCACGGCGCATTGATCGTCAGTGGCGGCGGGCTGCTGGCGCCGCTTTCTTTTCTTCATTACTGCCAGATCTGCGGTCACGAATGCCCGGCGATAAGCCTCACCGGCCCGATGTGGGTGCGTGCTGTTTCGGTGTCCCTCCCCCTGTCCCCGTGGATGACAGTCGAGGGGTCACTGGCTAATCCTGCCGCTGCACCTGTCCGAAACACTGATGGAAGGGATAAGGGAGGGGTGAGTGATAGGGAGGTAGTAAGAGACTATGAATGGTAACAGACTGTTTATCGACAAGGATTGATAAGAGATCTACCTCACCCTGGGGTCTGGACCAGTGGGACTAGCCTTGAGCCACTGGCATACAGTTATCACTGTTCACCCTATTTCTGCCGTCGTGACTATGACATCGGCCCGACGCTCTAGGTCGGCACTCGGCACAGTGCGGCCGGTCTTCCTCGTGGCCTTGGGACTCTCAGCTGAGCCCTGGGACGCTCTCGTCCGGTGGCTGGCACCCTTCCAGGGAAACAAACACACCACTGACGTACTCAGTTTCACGCCGCTGGCAGACAGCGCCAGCGCAGTCAGTGCGTTCACATTTGCACTCTGTTTTGCGCAGGTGTTTTGGCATTAGTCCCCGAGGAGTGAGGATTGGACTCATGGGACATGGCCCGGATGCAAGAGAAAAAGCGCGCAAAGGACTTCGCATGCATTAACACCTGTTTCATAAAGAATGAAGAATGTGGGCATTTCTTTTCGTTTTAAATGAAGCTTATTCTTAGTATAAATCCACCGATAAATTAAACATTTTCTTCCTTTATTTCTTGTCCAGGAAGTTTTATTGATTTTCCTTTGCTCTGTGGAACCAGAGAAATTCCTTTTCCAAGTTCTAGTGTCCTTGCCAATACCTGCCAACAATGCATTTGCCCAGACTGCGCTCATGCTTACCACGGGACGGGCTCCTCCCGCCCGATGTATTGTCAAGCTCTGAATGACGTAGCGCCCATTCTCTACGTGACGCCCTCCCCTCCCCTCTTCCTCATCAGGTCGTCGCTAATTGGAAGGAGGCTGCGCATCTCTCTCATGAGGTTTCCTGTTCTATGACACGGCCTCCTCCATCAATGGCGATCGGTGCGGCGCTAGTTCACCGACGCTACAACGGAGAGTGAGGGCGCGCACACGGTCACAGCTGTGCCTAAGCGGCGCACGCGGACACAGCTGGGGCCAATGGACGCACAGGCTGGACGGGATACCCCAGATGAACTGTGACAAAACACGTGACAACCAGCTGTGGCTTGGCTTATCAAGATTATGTTTTTGAAAGGGCGATTTTTGAAGCTGGATATAATGATTGCAGTGGTGTCCGATGCCTGGTTTGACGTTCGAATTGAGAACTCTTGTCAGTGTCTTTGGTTTTTCATCAATCCTGAAAAGGGTTAAACTGCACTTTTTCTGCAAAGTCATGCTGCACCGAAACTAGCCAGCTAGTCATCTCATTTTAGCGTAAATCGATATTTGGCCGTTTTGAACTGGTCCAGTCCAGTTCACCCAGCATGTGAGTGACAGAATGGTAGACTCGGTCCTGTCATGACATGGCTGAGCTAAGCTGTCAGCTTGTCAGCTCATGCTGTCCCATTCCGTTCGCTGGACTGTAAAACATCCCCTGACAAATTAACTACTTGCAGGGGTACCTTATTTTGCGAGTTTCTATTAAAAGGACTGTCGTAAGTCCGTTCCGGAAAGTCTCTCGAGGCTTCGTCTATTTTCACAAGTATTTTCTTGAGGCAGCTTTTGTGGTCGCTTATACCAACACATCACCTCTTCTGTCAATATTTGCTCGGTGGCAAATTTTCACGGCGTTTTCACGGTCAGCTGATCCCCAAGCGGGCCTCTGATGAGAGGCCTGTCGTTGGACTGCAACACATGCAAAACGCCGACAACGCGCGACACTTTAAGCTGTTACCCTTCGGATAGCACTTGGGGTACTCCAGTGGTTACACTAGCTGCTATCTTTGCTGGGATAGCGGCTGCTACCCATACAGTCGTTTTCCAGTAGTTACCCAAACCATTGCCCCAGTCGCTATCATGATGTTATCCTCTGCTTGCCCGCTAGCCGTCAGCCTAAGCTGCCATACGAGACACCCGTTGTCCTGCTACAGTCCACAGCTACCCAAGTCATCCTTATAGCTGTAGTCTCAGCATTTACCTCAACTGTTACTCCTGCTGCTAAGCAGCTGTCAGCGTGCGCCAGCGTGCCGCCGCTGACTGTAGATACCTGATTAGTTTCCCAGACTCAGCTGCCAGTTGCCCAATTTACGATTAACTTGTTACTTGTTACTAGAAAGCAATGAAACAGCGAAACAAACGCTAATTTCTACCAGCGTGCCTGGGTCTTTTTAATCCGCCCTTCACTGTCATCATATCCAGCACCACGAATGAGTGAAATCTGATGCATCTTCTTCTCTGGAATCGCAGTGGGCATTGTTGAAATTACCAAAAAATCGCAATCTGATTGTCTGCTCGGTGTACCGACCGCCGCGTTATTCCGCGACCGCACTGCGTGCGGATTTTACAGACTTGGAAACCCAGCTTCAGTGTGTCCTTATCGACCACCCCAACGTCCCGTTTGTTATATGCGGCGATCTGAATTGTGACTTGTTAAAGAGCGCTAGCTCTCCCGCCCGTCAACACATCAGCGAGTTCCTCTCTGACTACTCCCTGGATCAACTCGTGACAACATCAACATTCACTACCGGTTCTCTCTTGGACGTGTGTATTGTACAAAACCGAAAATTTGTGCGTTCTTATAGCGTAGTCCATTGCCATTTCAGCCCACACAAACTCATCCACGTGACCGTCGACGTGCCTAAGCAGCGCCTCAAACCAACTGTCATCCAATCTAGATCACTTAACCAAGTGGACGTTCACTCTATCAACCAAGAGCTGCTGAGTGTCGATTGGCAGGAAGTTTATAACTCGACGTCTGTTGCTGACAAGTGGCAGGTCTTTTTAGACAACTTTCTACCTGTCTTCGACGACCATGCCCCCCTCAAAAATGTGCTGATAAGAAATCCTACAGCGCCCCCTGTATCTGCCGCCACCCGCGACATTATGTCCAGGCGTCGCTCCGCGTTACGTCGGCTAGGCCGCGAGTCTCCCGAGTATAAGGCTCTTAACCGCTCCGTCCGTGCCGCCTTACGCCGAGACCGCCGTCACGTCCTCCAAAACGAGATCAGCGAGCGTGGGGTAAACAAAGTCTGGCAAAGCATCAAATCAGTGATCGCTGGAAAGAAAGATGGTCCAAATATTCAGCCCGATCTATCTCCCGACGATCTGAACTCCTTCTTCGTCTCTGTCGGGCCCCGCATTGCCACCGAACTGAGTACCCAAAACAACGATACTGATCTAAATGTACGTCTACCCCGTGTCGGCGCATGCAGCTTTAGGCCGAGGGCCATCACTCTCGGGGAACTCGGACTCACAGTGTTCAGCATGCGAAACTCTGCCGCGCGTGGCACTGACGGTATATGCATCCGCATGTTAAAAGTATGCTTCCAAACTATTGGCGACATCATTTTACACATCATTAACGTCTCAATCACCCGTTCCGACATTCCTGACCCCTGGAAACACTCTATCGTTCAACCGATCTTCAAGTCGGGCAACCCATCTGACCCCAGCAATTTCAGACCGATCTCCCTAGTTCCCGTAATCATGAAAATCATCGAGCGTGTAATCCATCAGCAGCTCTATCACTATCTCACCCATAACCACCTTCTTTCGTCTACCCAACACGGATTCCGCCCCCGACACTCCACTGAGACTGCACTGCTGTCAGTCACAGATAGCATCCTTGCCGCCACCGATAGGGGTGAGATCTCAATGCTATGCCTCATAGACCTTAGCAAATGTTTTGACGTCATTGACCATGAACTCCTTGTCAAAAAGCTCCAAATCTACGGTATTGAGACCTCCTGGTTTTCCGCTTATCTTCAGGGACACACGCAGAGTGTATCCCTGAAAGACAAAACCGGCCGTAAGATAACCTCTCGACCGCTCCCAAACACCGTAGGAGTTTTCCAGGGTTCGGCTTTGGGTCCCCTCCTCTTCACTATATTCTCCAACGACCTCTCACTATTTGCCGGAGACGCCACCGCTTATCAGTACGCAGACGACACCCAGATATTGGTGAGCGGCCCACGCAACGACATCAGGAGTCTCATCTCGCGCATGGAGGCATCGCTAGAGTCACTTAACGCATGGTTCTGCGCACACGCCCTGAAAGTCAACGCTTCTAAAACTCAACTGATGGTATTCGGTAGCCGACAAAACCTACGTAACCTGCCTCGCTTCAAAATCTCTTTCCGTGACGCTGAGCTCCTGCCGTGCGCGCAGGTGGGAAACCTGGGTGTTGTATTCGACGGCGCACTCACCTGGGAAGCACACGTGGCCGAGCTGAGCCGTCGCTGCATGGGCGTACTGATCGGCCTCTCCCACGCACGACACTGCCTCCCAGACGGTATCCTCAAAACGATCGTGACTGCACTCGTCATCTCGCGCGTCCAGTACTGCCTCACTGTATATGGAAATGGTTCCCAGAAAAACTTCGACCGACTTCAAAAAATTCTAAACTTTGCAGCACGGGTCATATTCGGCCGCCGGAAATTCGATCACGTCTCTGGCCTCCGCGATTCACTCGGATGGATGCCTCCGAAAGCTATGGCCGATGTTAAAACCATGGTAACTGCGCAGAAAATAATAAGCAACGGCGAGCCCGAAGCACTAGCTGCCATCTTCACGAATAACAGTGACGCGCGAGAGAGGTCCACCCGGCAGGACCACCTTTTCCACCTTCCACGCTCGCGGCTCGAGACTGGCAAGCGACGATTCGGCTACCGGGCCGCGGCGCTACTAAACAGTCTGCCTCCCGGTGTCATCGAACAGCGCCCCGCCCCATTCGCCCGTGCGGCCAAGGCTGCAGTCTGTCCGGCGATGGCGACCGCCCGACGATGACCCGTGTCAGGGGAAGGAGGTGCGACATCCGTATGCGGTGTGCTGTCTTGAATCGTCCGTTTGTATATAGAGAGAGCGAATGTCCAGCGATTGAATCTGTATGCCTGTGTTTCTTGTCCCCGCATGTTTTTGTTTGTGCCCGACTCAGACTCTGGACTGTAATCGCCACGCCCCGCGTGGATTGTCCATGAAGGTAATACAATACAATACAATACAATTCTCTTACGCTTTTTTCGTCTTCTCGCTCATCCCTGGATGAGGGAGAAGACGCAGTTTTGACTATCCCCTGTTTTGCGCTGTTGGCGCTATGAACAGCGGCGCCAGTCGCTCTGGCGCACAGTGGGCCAGGCGCTTCAAAAAAGCGGAATTAAATCAATAAGCACAGCTGCGGTGCCAAAAATGATTCGTTACAGGGTAAAATATCATGCTAAAGCTGAATCCGATATCCATTTTCAAATTTGATTGGTTACGCTAGGTCACTGACCTATGACGTCATTATCTAATTTCTGCGCTGCACATATGCCTGGGACAGGCGGGCACTATGCCGCATTGGCCGCGCGTTTGCAGTCTTTTCGTGGTTTCAAGCGTTCAAACATGTGATATGATGTTGGTCCCATGCTTTAGGGTGGGTGTAAAGGTCACCTGAAGGTCAGGTCAGGTCATTGACCTTCGATGACCTCGGTTCACTTTTTCGAGTTTTACATGTTTCTGGGCTAGTTTTTGGAGCTGAATTCGAATTTAGGAACCATTTGAACATTTACGAAGTAGTTTTGGTGCCTTCGTAACATGTTACGAAGCTGTCAGAGGCGGGTTGACACCTACTACGAATACCCGGCAGGACCCATGCTGGTTGACCTGACCTGAGCTGACCCGACCTGGCCTAAATGCATGAAGACATCATCTGTGATCAAAACTAACATGATATTCGTGATCAGCATCCCGAAAAAAAAAACCCTTAGCAGCCACACTATACGACGTTCTAACAGGTCCCGACTTTCGGCCATTGACCTGACCTCAGAGGTCACCATTTGACCTATGACCTTAAAACCGGGTACCGTTGGCTTCGTCTCGTGACGACCTACACGATGGTTTTTTTTTCCGCGAGGCTCTAGCTCAATTAGGGGCCAAACGCGAGGAGGGTCGCATCACCCTGTGC